AAATAATGACACTTCTAATGGACTTTTAATGCAAATTTTAATAGAACTTTGATTTAAAAGGGTCATTATTGACCAAATAAAGGTTGACACGTTTAATAGACTCTTAATACAACTTTTAAAGCAACTTTGCATTAGAAGTGTCATTATTCATACTTTTATAAACATTCAAGAAGGCTCCTTTGAGTTCATAACACGTGTTATGTCATGTTTTTGATCGTGTCATGCCAGTCTTATGCACACCCCTTCAAAGAAAGTGTTAGCAAATATTTTTACTTCATTTTGTAACATTGGTTTTAATCAGTACTTACGAATATCATCTTCATGATAGATGACGGAGTGGAATGGCACATTGCTGCGCTCCAGATACCTCTCTGAGGGTTCGACGTAAAACGTCCCTTGGTGTGTTTTAATGAATCCCTCAAAGCGCCCGTCCACCACCGAGCCGTGAGTCAGAGTCCCCTGTTCACCTGCCAAACAAAGGAAATCTAGATCACGTCCTGTTAATCTGAGTTATAAACAATAAATGCAAGAATCCTAATCAACAGCTACATTTTTCATATCTCTGCTGCCTTCTCTCTTCAGAGTGACTATTCTTTTTAAGTGCAGCTTTTATTTACTTGCATTCATCTTTGCACCACCAAGTTTAAAACAACATAAAACTACAATTATTGTTTTGGTTCAACTCTAAGATGCCCCCAGTTGACGTTCCCAGGCACAAAAACATAATGGCATAAACTTCCCATTTCACCTTTTGTTTGCTAAAGACAATAAAAGCCCCTTTCCTAATGTTTGTGTGAACTTACAAGGAGACGTGCAGCAGGAAGGAGAGGAAAGGAAATTAAAATATGTTGGGGGATGGGATGGAAGAAAACTGGATTTACTCTACTCACTCGGTGTACCCGGCCAGGTCGAACCCAACCTGCTCATTTCCTTTTTGCCCTCAGTGAGTTCTCTAGCATCATCAGTCACCCGAAACCATTTTTTAACTGTTTTCTTCCTCCACTGTTTTGGGTGGGTGACTAATCCTTTTATCAAAGACAATCTTCTTCTTGAAACCAGACAATTACACAGATACTGGATAGGATTCCAGGTTTAATCAGCTTAAATGTTTTTCTAAATTTTGATTAATATTAGATGTAGTGTTTCTCCATGCTGCCTTCAGCTAAAGGTTAGATTTTTTTTAATTCAGGGGTGCAACTGGCAAAAAAGAAACAAAAAAACAACAACAAAGGAAATGTTTGAAAAATAATTATACTGATAGTTTAAGAGCCTTATTTGATTTTGATAAACAGTAAGACTTGTGGAGTTATTTACAATAAATCATTTAAAAGAAACAGACAATGAGGAAACTGTAAACAGGAAATGATGCAAGGAAAGCGCAGCCTTACCGAAGATTTCGCCACTGTAAATATGTGACGTGTCGATTGGTTCCTCTTGACCTGACACCTCAATGACGAGATCCGGAGAAAAGAGCTTTGTATCTCTCTTCAGCCGCAAGTTAAAATGTCTGAAGAGAAATAAAAAAGGAAAATTAGCTTCAGCAGTAAACATTAAGCATCCAAATTTAGATCACAAAATAAAGTATGTGCTGGAAAACACAGTGAAAGCCTCAGGGCTGCAGTCCACACACCCACAATGAAAGCTCTGTCACTTTGTTCTGCAGGCTGTTGCTTAAAGATTTTCTCTAGAACAGTGTTGTCAAAAGAACAGGATAAAAAAAGAAACTCATCGCTGGTGTAATCCCATATGAGCCACTAGCTTGCCAGAAACTTGCAGCGATGCTTGAAACTCTTCAAACGACGAGAAACATCCCTGCTTAGTACAATTCTTATGCAATCACACGTCTGTGAAGGTTCTTCCACATGACTCAACTCTGAATCACCACTGCTTCTTACTCACTGACACCCTGAGTTCAACCATTTTGGCTTCATCATGTTGGTAAAATGGGGGCAATTTAATATCTATGTTTCTCCCCCATTATATTTGTTTGTTTGTTCAGAGATTATAACTTAGTCGTGCTTCGATGCAGTTGGCAGTGCTGCAGGCTAAATAATGAGTCCTCTGTAAGAAGTAGCAATGAGTTCTGACCAACAGGTTTTACAGAGAGCAGCTCTGACATTACCACATGTTAGTCATTTTATCTCATTCAGTTTTTTGTTACAAAGCCACATATTTGCTTGGAAAATCCACTGCCCTGATTTCTACTCAGCATCAGACACTGATTAGTAAAAGTCAAGTTTCTAAACTAGCAGCCAGGCCTGAAATCAGCTTAACACGCCAATATATTAAATATCTGCTGCTGTTGTATCAACCTTCCAGACCGCTCAGGTCTTCTGGTTCTGCTCTGCATCCCCAGAACCAAAGATGGATAAGCAGCATTCAGCTTATATGCACCACAAATCTGGAACAAACTTCTAGAAAAACTGCAAAACTGCTGAAACACTAAGTGTCTTTAAATCTAGACTAAAACCCCTCCTGTTTCTAGTTGCCTTTGAAGCATAATCGGTTAAGAATTTAACAATGGCGCCTGACTAAATGTCATATTTCAATTGTTGATTCTATGCTGCATGACTTTGTGTTTTTTGTGTTCTAGTGATGTAAAGCATTTTGAAATGCCTTGTTACTTAAATGCGTTGTGCAAATAAAATTTGATTGATTTATTGAAAATAGATTTTTCTAAATGTGAACAGGGATATAACTGAAAGTCTAGCAGAGTTACAAAGTAAACAGCGTTTTGAGGGTCAGACAGAGAGCAGGATTTCCCTCTGCAGGATGAATCTTTGACCTGTCCAAACATTCACATGTTCCTCATCATTCACCCCCGTTTCCACCACCTTGCAGGCAGGTTTGGTTTTATTTTCTCATACATAAAACATTACTAATTAGAATGTTAATATTAATCATATCTTTTTTTTACATCCACATTGTGAACAGCTGGCAAGCTGCTGCCTGCTGAATGTTAAACTCTAAATAGGTTTTTAAATAAAATGTGCAGCTCAGTCCTGAACTGAAAAAAATAAATAAATAAATAAAAATACAGCATAAAATAATAGCAGAAAAAGTAGGGAGTGAGTTTGTGTTCCATTTTCTCGCAATTACAGACATATATGAAATGTCAAAGATGTTTTCATCTGCATGTGACCATAATGCACACCATTGAACACGTAAACACAAACAGAAACCAACAACAAAAGGTCAACATTGCTGCCAAACTAGGTTAATATAACTGGTAATTCTACAAATGAAGTCAAAGATTAAATCAAATGCATGTTTTCTTCAACATATTAAGCACAGCATGTCCAGTCTGTGCATTTAAAGACACTAATACAGAAGCACAGGTGAAGCTGTTTGCTCTCCAAGCGGGACACTGGTGTTATTTGTGGGAATGGGTGTGGCTACCACTGATAAAAAGAACAAACAGGAAACATGAAACAGCCAACTGTATCAAAGGTGACGTCTGTCACTGACGCCATGAATGAAAGCACATCCAAATTTTCCACAATAACAACAACCCAAATATTAAAACTGCTGCTGTTTAACATATACTTAATAACATATACTTAAAATAAATGGACTTTTTAATATTTTAGTTTTGATATGAGGCACCTGGTTTCTGGAATTAAAAAAATTATTTGGATACCAATGCGAAATGCGCATTGTGAAATATGCTATAAATCAATAACAATATATATAGCGAAAGACGTGATCATTATCACTGAATTCTCGACAAAAACGCACAGCATTCTGGGGGATGTAGGCATAGGAAAGGCTTTAGCTGTTCAACCTCTCAAGGTTGGTGGCATCAACTAACTCACTCTCTCACTATTTGGTTACCTAGCAACTCACTAGCTCTTTGGTTACCTAGCAACAACCTGATGAGTAACTTACGCAGCAGCGGTTTCAGGTTTCACCACAGTGCCGCAAAACCGCCTAAAGTGAAGGAAGAAAATGATCACCATATCTGATATGAAACTCTGGTATCGTGGTACATTTTTTTAGAAATATATTCTAGTTTCAATGAGCGAAAACCGAACCCTATAAAGAGTGTTTTAAACTTGAACATACAGGTGCTGGTCATAAAATTAGAATATTGTGATAAAGTTCATTATTTTCCATAATGTCATGATAAAAATTAAATTGTCATATATTTTAGATTCATTGCACACCAACTGAAATATTTCAGGTCTTTTATTGTTTTAATTTGATGATTTTGGCAAACAGCTCATGAAAACCCAAAATCCCTGTCTCAAAACATTAGAATATTATGAAAAGGTTCTCTGAACGAGCAATAAAAATCATCTGAATCAACAAAGTAACTCTAAACACCTGAAAAAGATTCCTGAGGCCTTTAAAAACTCCCAGCCTGGTTCATTACTCAAAACCGCAATCATGGGTCAGACTGCTGACCTGACTGCTGTCCAGAAGGCCATCACTGGATGGCCTTCAGGACATCCAGTGATGTCCTGAAGGCCATCACTTCAGGACAGTGAAGTGATGCTTCTCTGACCACTGAACAACCACTGTTGTTCAGTGGTCCAAAGTACTTTTTTCGGATGAAAGCAAACTTTGCATGTCATTCGGAAATCAAAGTGCCAGACTCTGGAGGAAGACTGAGGAGAAGGAAATGCCAAAATGCCAGAAGTCCAGTGTCAAGTACCCACAGTCAGTGATGGTCTGGTTGCCATGTCAGCTGCTGGTGTTGGTCCACTGGGTTTTATCAAGGGCAGGATCAATGCAGCAGCTATAAGAAGATTTTGGAGCACTTCATGCTTCCATCTGCTGAAAAGTTTTATGGAGATGAAAATTTAATTTGGTCTGGAATCGGCCCTTCTCCACAATCTTCCTCAGGGTCCGGTCACCTCTTCTCGTTGTGTAGCGTGAATGGCTGAAACTTAGCTTATTGTGCAATGAGCAAGATATTTAAATGACATAATAATATCTACATTTTTTGATATTTTAAACTGCATTGGTACATGTTGGACAATCTTTTCTTTCCCAGAAAGGAGCAACATAAAGCAGACAAAGGATCCAAATTTCCGCAGCAGATTAGGAAGATTTCAGCGAGGAAGGGTGGGTGTGTGTGTGTGTGTGTGTTTTGAATTGAACTGACCTCCCATGAGCATGGAAATCCAAGTGAATCATCTGGTCTTGCGGATGAAGGGCCCTTTTGGCTCTCTGATGGCTGCTGTGCAGAGCTTCTGTGTCATACGACAAACCCTCATAATGGTGAATATATTTGTTCAACGGCTTTTCAAACTGGCCTGAAAGACAATTCAACGACACAATGAGACAAACTTTGTTTTTAAAAAGGCAGATGCAATATAATTTCTCTGATTTCTGGAACAAAACAAAACCTTTGAATGAGCAGTCATCAAATGAGTCATGCTAGAAAATTTCAGGAATGTCTCCAAAACTGAGCAGGGTAAAGCTGTCACTCTCAGTGTAAAAGGCTTATTCATCTTAACGCCTCAAACCCACAGAGTTCTTCCAGCCATCTTTCTTTCTAACCGCTTCCTTTGTTCTTTTATCAAAAACACAGAGTCCTCAGTTTAACACAAGGGGAGCAGAGCGCATGATGCGCATCAGGTGACTGGGGCTCTGTTTCCACAGAACAGCAGGTCTCAATGCCAGTGAATGAAACTGCTGAAGGCTGCTGAAGTAGTAAGCAGCTCCATTCCAAGGAAACACTGGATGCCATTTAAATACTGGTCTCTGTTGGTGTTGTCACGGCAGTTTTCAAAATAATGGCATCAGAGTTGACAATTTATTATTAAGCAGAGAGCTTTAATTATTGATTTATCTCCATTAACCTTCATGAAAGTGTTAAAGTGCAAAACACAAATGGTGGAATAAACAGATGACGATTAATGTTATTATTCTCAATAAAACCAATTGATTGAAAACACTAGAGGAACCAAAGAAGCAATATATAAATGCACCGATCAGGATTGAAGTACCAATTTCTGGTTTGCTTCAACAGAAAATGAAGAAATAACATTATCCCCATTTATTAATTAATTTATTCTTTTTGGTTTTAATGACAAAGTGCATACATGAACCAATGTTTGCTGGTATTTACCTTTGTGGGGAGGATCAGATCTTTTTTTATGTATTAGTAAATTTCACTCCTTTTCTTTTATGTTGCTGCTTTTGTAGTTCATTAAATGCAGCTGTTAAAAAAAAACAACAAAATGGTACATGACTGAGTGAGTCAAACTTATCACAACCGGCTAAACTATGAGGAAACATGACTTATTTCTGTCATGCTCACACAGTATTCTGATAAAAACCAAAAAACACTATGCAGGTGTGTTTATCGGAAATATTTAAAGTTATATTTAGTGCCTTACTTTTATAGTGGCAAAGCACAATAAAAGTAAGAAAATGAAGTTCAGAGACATTTGGTCTGAAACGCCAAATGTTTTTATTTCCCCACTCCACTGATTTGCTCTGTCAAACTGAACTGCAATGGAGTGGGAGTCATAACTCCCCAAACAGGGAGGGAGAGGCTGTACCAGGCTAGCAGCAACTTGTTCATGCTGCACACATAGGAAACAGCAACAATCTGCCACGTTCATCTAACTTCTAAAATGACAAGAATGTAAACAAACTAAGACAGGCTTAGGGATGCCTGGACAGGATTACAGTGAGTATTTTTCTAATCAAGGAATGTAAATTTGGTACTAAAATAAATACCGCTATCCCAGACTGCAAGATCTCCTCTCAGGAGGATGTGGAAACTTTACTGATGTTTAATATTGACAGTGAGTAGCCTTTACATGGTCTAACACAGCAATTTGTTTAATAAAAAGGGAAGAAGGGGATTTTTGTCCACATTCAGTAAATAAAACTTTTCTATAGCCATAAAACCCAAATCATCCTCTTAAAAGGATAATAAATCCTTTTATAAAGCATAATAAATGACTGTATTTGTTTTATGGTTATATTTAAGAAACACTGGTTTATTTCTACTTTGAGGTTTAGGAACAAAGACAAAAAAAAAACTATTACAGCAAAGCAAATCCGCCTGACTTTTATGCAGTTTTCTGCCTTCAGCTTCTATAACACAGAGCTGCTGTTAAGATCCTGGATAATTACACTTATTTTAGATGTTTTATTCTATCTTTTTATTTTTTACAATAATTTTTTTTAAAGCATGTACTATTAGTTAAACAACAAAATTTAATAAACAAATGCATTGAAAGAAAAATTCTATCTTTATGTTAAATAAAAAAAGAATGTAGTTTGCAGCAGTTTCTTAAAATCCTCAAAATGGTCATGAAACGTCATCGACGATTAGCCAAAATGAACCTCTTGTCTCATTTAGTTTGCTTAGAATCAGCTGTACATCAGAAACCACTGATAAAGATCTGCTTGGCACATTCACACAATATTTGCATCTTCACAAAAACATGCCACAGTTGAGTTATTTGAAGTCTCTGTGGGTGTTCAAGCACAAACCTGGTCAAAATAATAACACTTCTGTTTTTTTGTTCTGTAACAGCCCAGCCTCACTCCTAACTTTTTACACAAGGATTAATGGACAGTAATTAATACTAAAGAAGTAATTCAAACATTTTTTTTTTTACAGTTTCACTGCTGCTGCACATCTTGAGGATTGCAGAGCAAAGTGTTTTGAGTGCTGTTGCAAAGAGCAGCTTTTGACAGAAAGGAAACTGTTTTGCTGACAAGAAGCGAGGAAGTGGTAACAGCATGGATTCAACTCTTCTGGGCTTTGCAGGCGAGTTGATTGTTTGACAACAAAAACATCATATAACTGGCAACTCCAAGGTCTACACTTAACTATGGATTTAGCTGTGCATCCCACAGTGGAGAACAAACAAACCTGAGGTTTAGTTGTAACCAGGAAAAACCAAATCCTTAACTAAATACTCTTGAGGATCAACAACAATGAAAACAAATCTTAAACTGAAAAAAGCCTGGCTCACATCAACAAAATTATGCCAGACAAATAACCAAGCAGGACTTAACAAAGCAAAGCTGGGCTGGAGTACAGGAACTTCATGCCATCACAATGTGGTTTGTGAAAGCACCAGTGTGGTGAAGCTGTTGGACTCAGTCTGCTATTGTTTTGAAACTGACTGGTCCAAGTTGTCTGCTCTGATTTTATGCCAACATTGACACAAATCGACACAGTTGCTGCAGATGATTTATATCACCTCCTTCTGCTGCTATTCTTTAGACATAGAAAGTCCTGCTAAGAAATTTGAAAAGGATCCTGTAGAAATTATGAGAGTTGACCCTCGCCTACTCACAACTTAATATTTATAATTTTTTCTGCAAAACATAACTCCAAATTATTTGTGATTTATCCTTAGAGCATATCTTAAACATCAGACAGAGACATTCATTTTCCTTTGTCCTGATTGGCTCTGCCCTGAAGAGCAGCAGTAGTGCCACTGTGCGTATGAATGCATATTAAAACAGGTGGTATTATGTATTTTCCAGGCACATACTTCCATTTCATATCACAAAGAAACTATGTTACCTTCAGTTGCTATGAAAATTCTGTAAAAATCAGCATTTCCAACTTGACTGTGCAATTTAACTTCTTGAAATTGGGCCTCTGTCTCTTAAAGAAACTCATGCTCTGACTTTCTGCTTTCAGCACATCATCACAATTCTTCTCCATTTTAGTTTACAGCTGTTCTTAGGAAATGAGAAGCATCTCATCTCCTGTGCATCTCAGCAGATGCACAGTTCCATCAGTTGATTGCCAATTGCTGTTGCCGCTAGTCTGAAGGAGCTGAGTGAGGGAGACATGGAGGGAGGGCTGCTCTGTGAGGCAGAGGCTTGGCTAGAGACCACAGCTCCAAGGAGGATCTTCGTGAGGGAAAATGTTTGTGGATCCTCTGGTTCAAATAGGAGATTGAAGGATTTCTCAAACATCAATGAAAGAATCAGAGTAACACTCTAGGTATGTTTAAGTGTACCACTTTTTTACCCTTTAAGGTATATTTGGTGTTTAAACAACTAAAATATTCACCTAAAAGTAATCTTAGAGGAGGTCTAAAGTATCCAAGTACAGATTGTACATACGGATTTAAGTTCCTCATTTGCTGTATTCCCTTTTTCATGCTTATTGTCTTTACTCTGTTTTATTTGTGTAATATATGGCTGACTTCCGGTTTTTGATTTGATGCTTTTACTTTGATAAGATAACTTCCGCTGTATATATTATGGAATGGCAGCTTAACGATAGAAAGGACCGGGAGAAAGGTTGGAACAACGTTAACTGTATCTTATTAGCGGCCCATTTGATAGAGGCACAAGGTATGTTAATTTTGTAAAAAAAAAAAAAAAAAAAAAAAAAATTTTTTTAATTTTGGTTGGTTGAAATTGTGAATTTGTTTTATTGTATGCAAACACTAGGGTATAGATTTTGAATTAGAGTTGACATTTTTAGTCGTGAATGTTATTGTTAGTTCAAACGTTATGGTTGTAAGAGAGTGGTTTTGTACCTTATACTGCCTTTTTCTTGTGTGTTTGTACATCCAGCTCCTCCTTCAGTGAAACTCGGGGTTTATTTCTAATGAACCTCACTGTTCATCAGTAAAGCCTAAATCCTTCATTTGGGGGAGGAGGAGGTCTGCTACACATATGTTCAGCCATCACATAACTAATTATGTGATGGCTGATTAATTATGTGATTTCCTTTTCTGCCATTTGCTATAAATTCTCAACAAAACTTACAGCAGCTTTAATCCAGATTGTACATGAACCCCCTCCTCTCTGACGTCAGCAGCAGTGAACGTGTGTGGTTGTGTGTGGGCCTTTAACGCAGCTATGTTGGGCTCAGCCATCTTGGATTTCATAAAGCACTTCCAGGGTGATATTAAGGTGTCTTTTTGTCGTTTCAATGTATTTTGTGAGATGACTGAAGTGAGCCAGCCTCTATTCTGCTGCTGACTCAACAGTGGAGGACATCACAGCCCACATCAGCTGACTCGTATAAGGGCAAGCAGGCTTTTTGGTGGAGGAAGCGATGTAGGGATGACATATGGTTTGTGCAACCACCCACTCACTGGTTCTTTTGTGACAGAGGCTATTAGTTGGCTCTGTCCAGATTACTGTGTGAGAAAAAAGATGCCAGGTAGAACTTCCTTTTACTCCCTAAAGACAATGGGTTATTAAAGTTTTTCACCCCCCAAAAAGTGCTTAAGTGTTATTTAAAGCTGCTGAATCTACTGTAATCAGAAGAGAGAAGAGTCATCTATCTCCTATCCTTTCCCTGTAATTTTTACTTAATTAGCTACCTGTCTGTGCCTGTTTGTTAATGGGCAGACTTCTTCCTGAAGATCATAAAACTTTACTTCATCCCTTTCAAATCACATTGAACTGAGTGTGAATATCTAATTTAATCAAACATTTTTCATGGTGTATGAACAATTATCTCATCTTGAAAGTGAACAAGACAAAAGAAAGGATTGTAGATTTCCAGAGAAACATTATCCATTATCTATTGTCATACAACAATGTCTTCAGTGAGAGGCTTCTTCAACCACTGCAACACAGACGTCTACAGGACACCCTGTAGCTGTCTACCACAACTTCTTGAAGAACCTTGAAAAATATGAGTTGCAACAAAGTATTTTTGAATTTAACTGAAACATGACAAATTTCTAAATAAGCTAAACATAGTTGTATTATATTTTAATTTAATTTGTAAACTTGTAAATTAAGTTGTATTAATTTAATTTAAAAAGTGTAAATACGTTTTTCTTTGAAACTGTACTATGAAATGAAATTTGACCTATTTTTATGTTTTCACTTCTGTCTGCTCATACTTGAGATTTTGGAAATAAATTCAAACAGTGTTTTTCTACCCCAGAGCCACATTCACACAATCAGTGCGCATTTGTGAGCGCATGTGACACAATGAAGTTGGAATCAAACCCACAACGTTCAGATTAAAAGACAACTACACCTCCCAATAAGTCACCGATAAGCAAATACATAAACAATAAAGGTCTTGTTTTATTTATTTATGCAGGAGTTTGCCATATATATGTATATTTAACATTAATAATATTCTTTAATTATTACATTAATCAAAGAGAGTTGCATTATTTGTGAGTGGCAGCCCACAATGTCACCAGTTTAAGACCAAATGCTGAGATATCCGACACTTTTCTAACTAACTAACTAACTAACTAACTAACTAACTAACTAACTAACTAACTAACTAACTAACAGTGTTTCCCAACCCAGGTCTTTGTGACACACTGTCCTGGATATCTTAGATGTTTCCCTGATTTAACACACCGTTGCGCAAAAACCAGTTAACCAGCCATAAACTGAAACATGTAAAGCACCCCAGGCAGTGTGCCTTGAGGAGCTGGGTTGGCAAACATTGTACTGACAGATGCAATTAGAAGTACTTTTATTCCCGTAAGCCTCTGATAAAGACTAGAGACATGTGCTTTGATCAATAAATGGGAAAACCTTGTAAATCCTTCACTTTCTGCTGGTTCTAATACCTGATCAAAACACATGAAGCACATTTTTTCTCCTTTCTGCATCAGACAAAAACTGGTACTGGCAGGTCTGACTTACAAAACATCTAAAATTACAATCAGCCAGGGAAAAACATAAATGACGTTGTCCATAAAGACAATGTCATACGAATCAAAGTTATGCAATTATTATCAATGGGCAGAGAAAACTTTAGGTTCGGTTTATTTTGAAGACTTTCAACACTTAGATTTTTTTCAGATCTTGAAACAAAGGTTGTCCCACTGGATTTACTTTAAATAGTGGCTTTCAAATGCACAATACAATGCTTACAAGTGAAACTGCTTACCTTAGTAGATTAAACTGAGTTGATATCTACAGAAACTGAATTAGCTGCATGATCTGGGGAGAAACTACAAAATAGCTGTTCATTTACCTTTGAACAGCTTTGTCTTTTGTAGATGTAACTATGAGGTGTCAGTGTAAGTAACGAGTTGGGCTAAGTTTAGAGAACGTTTTTGCAATATTTCCAGCAGTAGTGAATGTTTCCTCCTGCTGTGTGTGTAATTTTGGCTAACTGTCCGCCCTAGGAGTTCCTGTTCCAACACGAGTTTTTCCACTCAAGAACTGTCAAAAAGCTTCTATTTACCTTGTGTGTGTCGGGTTTAACTATTCAACCTGACACCAAAGCTAATTTTGTCACGCTTCGAACTGTCTCATGTTCTGGCAGTACTCTTTAACATGAACATTAGCCACCTAGCTAGCAAGTTAGAAAGCCAGAGTACAACTGTTTGATCCGATTAGCGCTATCACTGAACACTTTCCCCGTGTGAGTGAATGGAAAACTTACCTCTAACATCCCGTAGGTAGCAAAAAATGACAAATAATTTGAAAAATATCATATCCGACCGCCGTTTAGTTCTAATGAACTAAGCTAAAATACACATAAAATCCGTAAAGTCCCTCTCGTTTCGCTGTGTTTTCACTCGGAGCCTATCGTCGCGCTCTTCCTAGTTCGCTCCCATAACAAACACCGGCGGCTTCGAAACGAACTCACAAGCAGACAGGCCCCCTCCCTTCCGGTGTGTACTGCCAAGAGAGCGTAGACACACCCATTCAGTTACCAAAGCACAACACGAAATCACCTCTAAACAACAATTTACTTTACCGTAGGATGGTAAAACGCTGTCTCAATCCTCTACAGCGACTCCAACACCCGGCGTTATTGTTCATGTCAAGTTTTTTTGCCTCCATTTACATTTGCTTTCTTATGAAAAAAAAAAAGACTTCCGGGTTCACTGACTGGACATTTCAATGTACTCTTTTGAGGGGAGGGAGATGAAATCTGGACAATGTTTTTATGTAAAATATGCTTAAAATTAAGAACGAATATTAATAATTACTGATAATCCCATATTGCAATATAATTTTTGAGCTGTAAGGGTACAATATACAGGATTTTCACATTTTCATAAAAAATTACTAAGACTTTCGAAAACTTCACAGTATATTAATTTTCTCTGCTGTAAGGCTCCTCAACAAACATTAATATATAACAATTACATGTTTTTTACATTCTTATAAAAAGTTTACAATTTAATTTGTGTCAGATGACAGGATAATCTTATTTTGCTTTTACTTGTTCCTTCTTGTCTTGATACTTATTTTTTATTTATTTTGTGCACAGTTGTGTGTGATGCAGTTTTAATTGATTGCACCTCATGAGGTACTCTTAATTTCATTGCATTGTTTCACTAAACATTGACAATAAAATCTTAATTCATTAGAAGTGTGGCATGCAACTGTATTCAACATATGAATTCTCCCATCACAAGCCCCTTTTAATGTGATATTCCTTAATAAAGTCCATGCATGCGTGGTATTTCATCTGTTCTGTGAATGACTAAGGTTTGTTCAAGAACATAGGGATTTTAAGCAAATGAACCTAAAATTAAACTTTCTTGTCTTCATACAAAAGGCTACATTTGGCAGAAAAAGAACCCCAAGCATAACTGTTAACAGAAGTAGAAAATGTCATTCTTTACCTAAAATTAAAGCATAAACATTTATTGTTACTATTTTTCATTTAAAATAATGATATCCTTGTTTGGCTTTAGTAGGTTTATTTTAAAGGACATCAAGCCCAACTAAAATGTTCCCAAACCCTTCTATAATCCTAATTGTCACATTTTTAAAGATAATTCAAATATAAAATTTACATAAAGGAGTAAGCCTATAAGTCTAGATATTTAACATTAAAATGTTTCATTTCTTGATTAAATTGTGTCTGTTTTTTTAAAATTATTAATAAGACCATTTGTATCACTTCTTCTACTGTTTAATAAACAATGACACTGTCAAGTCTTTTCTGAGTTTTTGTACACTTGATGATCCAGGAGGTCAGTTTCAATCTTTACAACCTCACAATCTTAGTTAGGCCCCGTACCTTACAATCTTCAAAATAACAGTCAACAAAATGATTTGTTTGTCAAAAGTAAGAAAAATCCCTTAGAGAGAATCTTCTGTTTCACAGAGTCTTTGCTGCCCCCTACTGGCTATAAGAGGATTCTGGAAATTAATTTATCTGTCAGTCTGTACAGCTCTCTGGACCTTTGTCCGCTTGGTCTGTTAATTTCTCAAGTTGTAGACACCAAAGCGAAATCTGAATTCAACTGAACCACCGAGCCAAAAATATCTGGCTCCTGAATTGTAAGGCTGAGTTCAAGTTCAGAATAATGCACGTTTAATGGTTAATAGGGTTAAGTATAGGGGTTAGGCCACAAGTAGATGTCGAAGCAGCATCCCATTAATAATGTGCATGAGTGTGTATGTCCTATACATTCAGGGCAGCTCTTTTCATTCAGTCTATGCTTGAGTTGCTTGCCACTATTTTTGCTTCACATGCAACCAGTGAACTTGAACAGCACACGAAGCTCCTGTAATGTTACATTAGAGTGGAGTCACAAAATGGGCACACAATATTCTTCGGCATGCAGCCAGCAGCTTTAATGGGCCGACACGTGGCTAATTAAACCTCATACTTTAATATCATATTTCTGTTTGAAAATAACACGTCGAAACGTAACACGTTTATTTAGAGTTCACACGATGGGTATGTAGCATCCGAACTAACAGTAGCGAGTTTGCAGAATACGAGCGGAACTGAACGCATCACCCAGCCGTTGGTTTTCTACTCTGATGACGTCACTTGCAGAGTTGTCATGGCGTCGTCGAGGCTGAAGCTACCGTTGCAGTGTTGCTAAAAAAAATCTGTCGATAGCCTTTAAACCGAAATGGAGAAAAATGCAAACCTGCATCGAGACACTGAGGTGACCGCTGTGTGTGCCTCTATTGCGGGCGAAATGGGCGAGGTTTCGGTCGCGGGCGAAGTGAGAGGAGCAGTCGACAAATTAAAGAATAGTGAAGCTCCCCTCAGTACTTTGGATAACGTTCCTTGTGATACCAGCGCCTCAAATGCTAGTTCTCCGAGCTGCGATGGATGTGTGCAGAGCGCAGTGCCGGAGGTTATCGAAGTCCCCCCTGTGCAGGAGGATCCGGAGGAGAACGCCGAGGCGAGCCCGTCGCTGTTGAGGTGCGAGGATCAGGTTAGTAACGGGATGGGACATGACTCGGAGCAGGTAGCAGAAGACAGCCAGGGAGGTGCCTCAAAGTTAGTAAACAACAAAGCCGACAGCCTGTCCTCATCTCCCGCTGGAGACAGCATACATGCGAAGGCTGAGCTTCCAGCCTGTGGAGAAAGTGAGCAGGCAAAACTTGCCAAGCCGACTGCTCTGTGTCCGGACAGCGCGAACGCAGCGGACGGCAAATCTGGACAGTCCGATCACACCTTATCGGAAGGACTGCCGAGTGGGAGTGACCCCGACCCCAGCCTCGGTGGAGAGTCCCGGAGCATAGATTCACTCGAGTCGTTCTCCAATCTCAACTCGTGTCCAAGCTCGGAGGGACTGGACGACAGGGGACTGGCCTTGGCCTTGCAGAGCGAGTACGCCTCCGACGGGACAAAGACCTCCTGCGCCAAGGACCGAGCCGCTGGCCAGTCCATATACCACATTAAGTGGATCAAATGGAGGGAGGAAAACACGCCGATCATCACTCAAAACGAGAATGGACCCTGTCCATTACTGGCAATCATGAATGTCCTTCTGCTTGCTTGGAAGGTAAACGCTCACATTTGTTCTATCAAGCACTCCACACTTCAGCACCAGATGACTTTTTATTACAACATATCAATACAGGATGTATGCATTCAAGACGTGTGTATTCGGTGCAATTTCGCCCAGCAAAACGTATTTGGGTTAGTCTTTTAGGCGAGTTTTTTTTATCTAATGTGCAGGAAATCATGAACAGCTGGTGTACATTCTTCTCTTTCAGGTTAAAATACCACCTATGATGGAAATTATAACTGCTGAGCAACTGATGGAGTATCTTGGTAAGTGTTTGCAGCTATGTTACTGAAGATCAACATATTTGTTGCTCCAAAGAATTAGAAAAAAATGCCTTGTTGAATCTTTTATGTAGAGATGCGCCAGTCAACCCCCCCAGAGATCAGAGTTGGCCAGTTTTCTCTTGATCATCTCTGATCAGTGATTGGCAGGTCAAATAGTATGAAATCAGAAACTGGGCCATCCTCAGCGCCTCAACGAGATGAAGCACAATTTGAACTTAAAGATCTGTACATAATTTGTCAACTATGTAGCGCAAACAGCTAGAGAAGTACCAGAATTAGTGTGAGGATCAGCCACTTGATTGGGAGGTCAAATACTGAGAATTCAGATTCTAGTAAATTTTTTTGTTGTTGCATCTTTTATTTGTTTTAGTCTAAGAGGAAACAAAAATTGGAATCAATCAAACCACTTAGAAATCGTAAAGCGTTTACCTGCCCAGAAGAGTCTGATTGGTGCATCTCTATTTTTTTTAATCCAGGTAATGTCACTGAAACCGGGCTTATTCTGTTTGCCCTGTGCAAAACATCTTTGAGGAACGTTTTGCACAATTAGCTCACTGTAGGTTTTTTGGGGGCCAAAGTGTAGCCTGCACGATCACATACTTATATTCTCAGTTGTCCACGAACTCCCTGCCAATATATTTCAACATCCTGGTGAATATTCTCATGTTTCATGCTCATACTAGTTGGCGGTTGCGCACTTTAAAGGCACAAGTTGGTCATCTGACTCAACTATGTATGTATTTATTTATTTACGTATCCTCACTGTCCATCCAGAGGAACAACTTTATTCCCCTCAGGGATATTAAGGAGTCGCACAGTTCAATATTCCAGAGTCGACAGAGGAAGCAACCGCAGCGGGGGAATCCCCCCATGAACTTCTTCTGCTGCTGTAAGGGAAATTGGAGCCATGTCTTCTGCCTGGCAGTGTCCTGCCCCTCTTTACTAAAACAGTTTTCGGTGTCCAGGAGTCGTGTCTAAACAGCTGCGTTTCTGCCAATGTTTTCTTCCAGCGTTAGGAGTACAATATATTTTAATAAATGAAGCGTTTTTAATAATTCAGCAGCATATTTTTTCCCTGACTTGTTTGTGTCCTTTAGCTAGCTAACATGACTCATCTCTATGAATCTCCCTGGAGAAAACTGGTGTGACTGTGGAGAGCTATCCGTGGTTTTAATTTCTCCACCAAATGTGAGGATTTGTTTTTGCAAGAGGGCGGAAATATTTGCATTTATTTACTGTACTTTACACAAAGACTTTAGTAGCTTTCAGAAACTTCTGGATTACTTCTAACCTCTCCTGTCGCCCCAGAGACTCAGGAGGAAGGGATATAATTCTCCCCTAGTAAAATCTGTATCTTTGGTGACGGCCTGAAAAAAGACGAGTCCATGGGTCTGTTCAAACATCTTGTGAAATAAAAGCTCCTATTGCTTAACACAGCTAGAGTTCATTAGCTTTACTGATGCAACAGATTTATTTCTGTTTAGTTGGTGATGTGCAAGTTTAACTCTCTTGAAGTAAGTAGCCTCTTTTTCCGTACTGGTTGCTACTCTCAGGGTACTCTTCTCCTTCTAGTGCCTGAGTGAGTGAGATTCCAATGTTAGCGATTCTTTCCATGCACAGATGTTTTCAGCCATGTGGATTTGATGACT